ATATTTGTTCCAATAATTATGTCCCGTATACCTTTTGAGCGTTGAAAAAAAGCCTACTTTAAATCTACATTTTTTCTTCATCAGCAAACTTGAAAGAAAGCCCTGAACCACAAATAACATATTTATGACATAAATATACAAGTGCCAAATATATAATGTTTATATATATATACAAATTGTCACATCTGTCTTCTTAGTCCGTAATGGTTTTCTTTTCATATGGTATCACCTACTTATAGACACCTAAAGAGATAACTAGATCGATCAATGATGAGAACGGTATTCAATCAATTGTATCTTACTATTATCATGGTGAATAATTTTTTGTTCTCCAATTACTACAAAATAGTGAAAAGGATGGGCTACATCGTTTATGTGATCCGTGTTGAAAATAAATTAAATAAATAATAATGTTTAATCTTAAAACATTAATATGTGCTTACAGTTGATTCTACCTTTAATTTACTTTTCCATTTGAAGTTTCATGATTTACATGAGTGAAATCAAAACACAGAAGAAATCATGACAGCTTTCTTTTCAGGACTCCTCAATCCTCTCTCTCTCTCTCTCTCTCTTACACATGGTGCACCCGCAAGCCTACTGTATAGCTTTCTTTTATGTTTATTTGATTTAACATACTTATATTCAACGTATACATTCAACAAAAATCACAAGTCTCAACACAGGCCTATTTATACGATGTCCTGCAATGACTCATAGCTTTTTCACACACACACACACACACACACACCAAAAAACAATGGTCATTTTATGATTATTGTTGTAGTTACAACATCCCTTGCTGTAAACAGCCCCTCTGTGAGCAAAGTAACAACACTTTTCCTCCGCTTGGCATTTTAATATGATTAGGGGAAGAATAAAGTATTATGACTATAAATCTGACCACATGAAAGAAAGCAAATGATTTCAATATGTCATGGGATAGTTATTGATTGTTTTATGATGAATGTTGTGACATGCTGCCCTTCGTGGTCACTGTTCCGAGGAAGTTTTGATTTCATTCCAAATTGACTTCGGAACACCAGGGTCTCTGGTGGGAGAGTGCATCTGAAAGTCATTCGTGGGGGTTGGTTGGGGGGGGGGGTGGTTGCATTCCGATCGGGATAAAAACATGATGCACAATGGTTCCACTTTAACAAAAAAATCCCCATATCTAGTATTTTTTTAAGCTTTATTTTTTGAAGGAAAATTGCATTTTTGGAATTACAATGCAGAGTGGAAAATCAATTTTGCTATTATTAACAGAGTAAAGAAATGTAATTGACGGTCAACAAACATACAAGTCATGATGATTGGAATATACTGAATGCCTTTCTGTAAAATGATCGATTCAGGTTCGATTGATGTTTTTTAAAAACATGAAAAAGGTAATCATACTGCGGTCTCTCTCTCTCTATCTATCTATCTCTATCTCTCTCTCTTTCCTTCTTTTTTTCTTTCCTTTCCCTCTTCTCCTTCTCCCTTCACCTCCTCCTCCCCTCCTCCATGAGTCCATATCTTTCATAATGAAGAATTTGAAGAGATTATCATGGATCAAGTAGACCGCCATTTATTTTTCACATTAGTGCTCTTAAAAGAACATATCGACATTTCATGTAACTTCCTCATGCTTTTTTGTTTTGGTATAAACACCCACAAAGAATCCAAATCAAGTTTCATCTTCATTAATATTTCATAACAGTTTATAAAGATCTGAGTAGCAATGAGCTGCTGTTGAAAGCAACATATTCTCGAATATAAAAAGAAAACTATTCAAATGTCTTTACAACCATTATAGGTTTCTTTAGAGAATGGAATAGATTTTTCCGCGAATGAATGATGGATAAAGCTCTATTTCCTTTCTCCATACCTTAGGATTTCTATTAGGAAGTCACGTAGCAGAAATAGGGCATGATGAAAGATGTCTGAATCAGAAAGTCATCATATCACTTCATTAACATTCTACCCACCAGAATGTAACACATAGTCCCACATCAATGTATTCATGTCATCTATTCTGATATGTCATGAATCTATCATGATTTCTCTCTCCCGACCGGAAAGACGGAGGTGTGCTAGTTGTCAACGCCCTCAATCCCCTTTCCAAGGCGAGAGAAAGAGAGCCCGGCCCGGCCCCGGTAACAAGCTTGTTATTTTGCATCCAACGTTCTTGAACTCAATTAACATTTATAATTTCAAATCACGGATACAGAGTTCAAATACTATTTTTCTGGAATTCGAAATGTGAAAGAGGCGATTTTCAAGCTAGCATTCCCAAAGTGGTAATCGTACAGGGTGACACCATTCGTCACCATTTTCCCCGTCGTGTCGTAACGCAACAACTATTTTCCAACAGGATTGAGCCCTAAAACTAACTTCCATAAAACTATGGCCAAACAATTTCCTAAACTTGATTAAGCTTTGATTACAGAGAAAACTGGATTCAAACGTTAACTCTGGATATTACAATAATATCATAGGGCCAACAGAAATGGGGGGGGGGGGAGGGGTACTTTTTTCCAGAGCGAAGAGTCGTATTCATGCAGCAAAATCGCAACTGTGCTTAGATAACATTGGAATATTTCTCATAGAATTACGGATTATTTAGTTCAAAGGCATTCCCCTTAACTATACAACAAAGAGCAATTGTTTTTAGCAAGTTTGTTCTAAATCTGGCATATTTACCCCATAGGTTCCTATGGGATAAAGTTCGAACCTCGTCAATCTCTATGGTCAGAGCATGGACACTGTCTCATAGAACAGAGTACTGCGCATTACGTAGGGCTATAGAATGGATTGATTATAAGATTCCGTAACAGAGAAAAACAGCGAAAGTAACCTATCATAATTTGGGGGAAGTGAACGCAACATTCAAAGTGTAAAACAAAAACAGGCTATTCTAATTTATAGTTCAGCTTTAACCGACGAACTATAATAATACCAGTACATTTTGCATTTGAATTTTTAAAAAAATTGCTTATATGATTGTGTTTTATATCCTGAAACGAAAGCACGTGCATGCGATTCAAAAGTAGATAAAGGACAACGTTGAAGAAAAAAGAAAAGGGCAGAAGAGAGCGTAGGAGATGAAGATATATGTGAACATGTCAGGTATTTGATCAGACATCACAACAATTTCATCAAGGTCTACACGAAAGTGGAATAGGAATCCTTCCTAATGCCAAATACTTAACTCAATTACATTGGGATCAGGATCGAAATATGTAGAATTATTTCGGATCCCACGCAACTTAAAGGGAGACCGTTTACATCCCAGCAGCCAGTATATAGGAAGTTCACTGAAACGATTTTATCAATGGCGCCTGGCTATAGCATTGTTTAATTTGCTTATTTCTAAAATGACCACTAAATATATATATTTCATGCAATGAAAAATGACATGACTGAAGCTTGATTTTGACATTACCTACAATTTTTGCAATTCTATCACCTTTTTATAAACAATTACTAAAAAAAATGCGATCAATTGTTATTCATGTCCCTAGTATGGACTGTTAATGATAACACAATCACAAAGCTTTTCAAGATTTTAGCCCAAGGGTGATGTCAATACCGCATTGTATTGACTACATCATGTTCTTGTTATATAACATGCCTTTGTCATGTTCGTAAGTTCAATAGGTGACGCAGAAGGCTATTAGAATTGCCATTGGTTGAGCTCTCGAATTTATTTACGATCGACATGTTTAGTACACCTTGTTTACTTTTTATAATGTACTGATTGACCAAATTGTTATTCTGAGCAGAATATATTAGAGAATATGAAATACAGTTTATGTATCACGGTGCAAGCATGACATTCTGATCGTATAGACTGAAAACCTTTAACATGAAGGGACTGTTATAACGAACGGGCGGTCTGGCCGGCACAGAAGCGCAAACTTCATATCCAGCCCGCCATCGAAAGTTAAATCCTTAAATTGTGGGAGGGGATTAGCAGGACCCCATGGATCATCCCAACTAGATCCCTTAATCTGGATACTGGTGTAGGGGCAGTGACACGAGTGAAATGGAATTCTTTGTATGTGTGTTCTCGAAAGGAGACGCCAACGTATAGCATGTTAAAATATTACATCTGCTGGGAAATTTTCTGAACTTCTTCCTTCTACATTCTCAATAAACATTTGATTGAAGAAAAAGAATGTTACATGTACTTTCTTATTCTCTTTAGCATATTTCCATAATTCTCATAACTCTTAGTCAATGATTATGATATTTCAATTTTACAAAACACATACTCATTATACAAAGATTTATGAACAACCTGCACACGCACACATATCCCACACGGGGCCACACCCACGATCACGCACACGTATTCTAGCGCGCGCACACACACACACTCTCTATATATATCTCTCTCTCTCTCTCTCTCTCGATGAAAAGTAGACATGATCACTATAGCTACAGAACTACAGTTACGTAACTATCTTCTGTAGATGTGAACTATAGCTCTTGGACAGCACTAATAGGTCAAAATACTTAAGAGGTCAGCTATATTGAATATTCGCTGATAAAATGCATAAATATAAATCTGTTTCTGCTAATATCTTTAACACACCTTCCTTTTCTAAGCCTCCATCTTGAAGCCATGTGAGGAGGTTATACTCTCCATAAAATTTACTTCCCTTCTATTCCATTTTGTATACGCTCTCTTTCTTTCATTACAAACTAATAAAAAAATATAAGAGGAGAGTGGGTAAGGCACACAAGAATGAAAGCTAACGAGAACGACGACGTCAGGCCTTCCGAAAAGATATTTGAGCACGGGTTTATAAGACCGATTGCCCATGAGACCGACAGGTCAGACTCGCGGTCTTTCTAACAACTTTTTGAGGGTTCACACACGTTTCATCGGCTGTCGGTCTACTGGAATACCTCCGGGAGGGCAGGTACCCCCATGGCTCTGCCCCTTGGTTTATAGATCAATCAAAATGAAAAAGAAGACGTTAGATAGTAATGTTCTTCAATATACCTACCTTCTTTTACAATGTTGAGTCTTTGTGCATCATTTGTCATACTGCAATTCCATCTTTCATGTTTGAATTGTTGTCTGCACTCTGTTAGGCTGAGACGAAAAGCATCTAATAGAACCAGAACCATCCCGTCATCTCTATTGCACAGTTTCTGCTGTTTCTTCGTGAGGAACAGATTCTTACAATCGCGGCCCATTCTGTCTAGAGATATCCGATTTGTGCTTGATAACCTGGAATTAAAAGTGAGGGTAAAACAGAAAGAAATGAGAAATGAGAGAGCTACTTAATTCAATATTAAATGGAATATTAGTGTACAGTGGCAGATCCGGGGGCAAGGGGCGTATACTGTCAAAGGAAATGACAAACAACATACATTTTTTTAGTCTGTTATGTGAGATTGATTTATAATTCAATGAAAATCATGAAGATAATACATACATCTGGTTAGATGTGAGCACCCGTGAGCAGTGATGAGTGATTTTTCACATACTACTTGCAGGATAACAGCTAATTAACTGCATTTTTTGTAAAAACATTTCAAAGTTGATTATAGACAAAATTATAGAGGAGTAAAAAATACTTTCATGCATAAAGAAACGAACAAGAATAATGTTTTAACAAAGAGTAAAATAAATTAAAATACACTTTAACTATATCAGTTGGAAAATGTAGAGAGTTGTTGTGAACTTTATGGTGCACAGCATGTAACATGATAAAAGTGGCCGGGATTTCTTTCCCCTTTACTTTAAAATCAGGGAATAAAAAAGCAAGCGGTTTCCGGGATTATAAATCCTTCGCAAATATTTGATTTATTTAGGACAACGATTGTCTTAGAAATGAATCAATTTGATTGTAACATCTAGGTCAACAGTCATCAAATATTTACGGAATACCTCTCAGGATAGTTCACTGGGGGTTAGTAGTTTAAGACATATAAACAAAAATGAATATCACCCGATGTTTCTCATTCACACAATTTCCAAGTATTTTGTTTTTATCCAATTCTTGCTTGGAATGCGTTCGTGTAAAATCGGGTGTATTGTAGATTCGTATCGCGAAATGGTGATTTCCTTCAAATAAAGTAGGATCACATTATGGAATATGAAGATGTAAAAATGAAATATGTGGAAATTTAGCACTAATAGTTTAATGAACACGGAAAGATGTATTCCATATCAATAAGGGTTTGAAGTTTTGAACAGGATAAAACCTAAACACGATTGATTATAAATAGTATGATGAAAATAATTATAATGTCAACAATTGTCAATGACAGAGAATGCTGTGCCCATAAAACTCGGGTGAAATAAAGCATTATGATGCTTAAAAATACAAGCTGTTACAAAAAATCACTACATCACTGTCTTATGCCTCATTCTCGAGTAAAATTGTCAATGTTATTGGAAAGTGGACCCTTTGAATCGGGTCAATCACCGGGGAAAAAATATTTGCTACAATGGTGATAAGCCTTTCGAAAACAAATATATAACATATCGCAATATATCACATCTGCCAAAGCGTAGAATAAGGGAAACAACATAAAGCGAGACGCTGAATGCAGTAGTTTCCACTTCAGTGCACCTTGTAAAGAGAAAGTGATCTTAAAGAGTTATGGTACATTATGATGAGGGGTGTAAGCTAGGTATGGGAATGGGTTTGGACAGGGTGTGGATAGGAGTTTGGAAAGGGGTGTGGAAAGAGGTGTGGAAAAGGGTGTGGAAAGAAGCGTAGGTATGGGAGTGAAACGGAGTGTGGACAGGGGTGTGGAAAAGGGTGTGGAGAGGAGTTTCGAAAGGGGTGTGGAAAGGAGTGTGGAAAGGGTGTGGAAAGGGGTGTGGAAAGAGGTGTGGAAAAGGTTGTGGAAAGGAGCGTGGAAAGAGATGTGGAAAGGAGTGTGGAAAGAGGTGTGTGGAAAGAAGCGTGGAAAGAAGTGTAGGTAGGGAAGTGAAACGGAGAGCGGAAATTACAGGTGGTGTAAATGGGTACCTGACAGGAATTAATTCCTTGACATACTAGAGCGCCGTATTGGCAGCCGTGCTAAAGCTAGGGTAATAATCGGGAGTGCCAGGAAAGAGGTGTGTGGAAAGGGTGTGGAAAGAATTGTAGGTAGGGGATTGAAACGGAGAGCGGAAAGAGGTGTGGAAATGGGTGTGGAAAGGGGTGTGGAAACGGGTGTGGATAGGGGTAATGAAAGGGGTGTGGAAAGGGGTGTGGAAAGAATTGTAGGTAGGGGATTGAAACGGAGAGCGAAAAGAGGTGTGGAAATGGGTGTGGAAAGGGGTGTGGAAACGGGTGTGGATAGGGGTAAGGAAAGGGGTGTGGAAAGGGGTGTGGACATGGGTGCGAAAAGAAGTGTAGGTAGGGGAATGAAACGGAGTGTGGAAAGGAGTGTGGAAAGGGGTGTGGAAAGGAGTGTGGAAAGGGGTGTGGACAGGGGTGTGGAAAGGGGTGTGGAAAAGGGTGTGGAAAGAAGTTTAGGTATGGGAGTGAAACGGAGTGTGGAAAGGGGTGTGGACAGGGGTGTGGACAAGGGTGTGAAAAGGGGTGTGGAAAGGGGTGTGGAAAGGGGTGTGGAAAGAGGAGTGGGAAGGGGTGTGGAACTAAAGAAGTGTAGGTAGGGTAGTGGAAAGGAGTGTGGAACGGGTGTACAAAGGGGTGTGGAAAGGAGTCAGGAAATGAGTGTGGCAAGGGGTGTCAAAAAGGGTATGAAAAGGGGTGTGGGAATGATTGAGAAAAGGGGTGTCAAGAGGGTTGTGATAACGAGTTAGGAAGACATGCTAAAGGTTGGGCCGGAAAGGTTGGGCCGGCAATGTTGTACAAATAAGAGAGTGTTATTAGAGGACAATTTTGTCAAGATGGGTTATTTTTGTCTCGAGTGGAAAGTATAGGAATGATGGGATTTCAAGCATAAAGAAAAAAATAAAAGAGGATGTTTTTACAAAAGTAAAGTATTTTTATCGTGAAGAACGAGGAAAGGAGAATAAATTATCGACATGAGCTAAGATGGGATCGGTGGGGTAGGTTGGATAATAAATATTTTCATCTGTTACCTCCCTCTCCTTTTTTTTCCTCAACAATTTACACCACCGTTTCCTCGATCCAGAATGGATCAAAGATTAACGACGACCCATTGTCGACCCTCTCTTTACGACATTTATGACCAGTATATTTTACGACGTATTATTCACCTACCCGATTGCTAGTCGAACAAAAGGACATATGAGAGTGGGATCAATTTCAAGTTCAGACGCCTATTGGCAGTAGGAACGATACTAGTCTATCATTTCTTACTTTATCCATCTAATTTCTCTAGGAAGTCAAGAGTCTGTGACTTGTGATCAATTCTACATGTTGGATGACAATATAACTTTATTACTTTTATTTAATGGCGTAGCCACAATTAATGTTACGTAAATATGTTTCAACTGATACAACAATACGTCACATTATAGGATCGATCTAACAGTGCTTGTTTATTTAACTTTAACAAATGAACAATGTATACGTTTTTACAGTGCTCACCCCGCGATATTACAAACTAAAATTATGGATCGCATTTATTTACCCATCCATGTCGTCCCATGTCCAATGACGGTTACGGATTCAAGACTACACGACTCAGGGAGAGAAATTGGGGTTAGGGGAGATAGATAGAGGGCGTAACTAGATCCAAAACTTTCACACGAACGGACAATTGCAAAGTAGCAATGAAAACTTAGGCCAGCATTCCGAAACACGGTCGAATTTCTAATATGCTTTGTGGGGATGTTGCTTTTAGTGTTAAGTCATTTTACCCGAGTCATTCAAGTCACCCTGTACCGACATTGACACTTTAAATGTTGTTTGAAGGATAATCGGGAAAGAATGCATGCCGCGAGTCTGGTTCATACAATACAATAGTCATTTCAAACCAAAGCAAGTAGTAACGTGAACGAACAATCTCGTCTTGCAAGGAAAGAAAAGAATGTACATGATATGTTGAGTAGCCTTTCAAAGTGGACGTTGTGTGTGCATGTCTTTCTATGGAAGATTGACAAAAGGCCAGTTTCTTCAAAACCATTTTACTCCAAAAAATAAAAATGTTTGTACTGAGAAATTGAATCCACTAACTTACAGGCTTGTGTTTGCCACGTATATCATATATTCATATTATGCTCAGACTGTAAATTAAAACGAAGTGCTTGATTGCGAATGTTGATTTATAATACATATACATGAAGAAAAAATAGTGATAAGACATACCAAAATCGTTTTTAAAAAATCACACCTATTTGTTATATTCTTTATCATAAAGAAAATATAACTATATGTCAGTAGACTAAATATTCAAATGATGACGTAATAAGTAGCCCTGATATTATTGTTACACCCTTTCTCAAGGGTTCTTTCCCCCGCCAAGCCCGAGAGGTTTAACACATCACTTAACACGTCTGCTAATGATGAATGTTCAAGGGGGCGGGGCGGGGTCATTGCTTCTGATCTAATGTATTATGCATTTTGACAACACATCTTGGCCCCATGCATGCTCCCCCAAATATCCCCGAGTCAAATCATTATTTCTTCATTTTATTATCAATCTTGAATAAGATAATTGATTACATTAATTAATTAATTAAACGAATATTAGTTTAATAGCAGTGAGTAGCTGAGTATTATAAAATAACGTATTATGGTACTGATGCTAGGTCGGGCAAGCTCCAATACGAAGTAGAGGCTGTCGAGACAAAGTTCGTTTTGAAAGCATACGGTTTAGAGAACGACCCATTATCTTATCTTTAGTTAATTTAACATTCACGTCAGAACCATCGCAAACCTTTCACCAATCAAAAACAGTGTTCTCCGTCTAAGTTTCAAAACTCGATTCCGATTGGTTGTTGAGCTTGTCATTGATAATTATGAGAATTAGAACCAATGACGAGCGTTTATGCATTACATCACTGATATTTTCTCCATTGTGTTGAACTACAAACGTGAGATCGATTAAATTAACCGGATTAAATCCGTCCTACTTGTCATTTTACTTCGGATGTCTTCCCACTTTTTCCGGATATTTCTCACCTACACATGTAAGCTTTTACTGGGGCTCATTTCCGACCAGTTGCTTCTCCAGTTTCCGTTTTGATATCTTCTCACCCTCCTGCTTGATGAACGAAGGATCTTCTAGGACACGTGTGGCATGCTTGTATCCTTGTTTAATTAACACAATTAATAACATTAAGAGTAGC